TAGGATGAGAAGTACTCCCTGTGTGAAGTAATATGATAAGATGCACCAGAATCAATCACCCAGGTGCAGTCATCACAGGCTACATTTAATAGTCCATGATCACCGATAACAAATAAATCATCATCACTAGATGCCAAGGCTGTAGTGTTCTTCTCTTCTGGCTTCTGCTCGGAATTCTCATTTTTATCTTTTCTCTCCCTGGACATATCCCTCTTTTTCTTTCTGCAGAATCTCTCAATGTGACCCGGCTTCTGACAATAATGGCAAATGAAATCTCTCTTTCTGGATTTGGATCTCCCTTTGGACTTGTCTCTGTAATGAGGCTTTCTGCTCTTGCTTCTCCCCCTACTAGATTCTGGAATCACATTTGCTTCGGCTTGGCTAGGGTAACATGATTCTTTCCTCCTAGCCTCTTCATTCAAAAGACTAGCCTTGACCATCTCCATAGTCATCTTGCCATCCGGAGCAGAGTTGCTAAGTGAAACCACCAATGTATCCCAACTGTCGGGCAATGAGGAAAGCAACAACAAAGCTTGAAGTTCATCCTCCAATTTCATCTTCATTCCGGCTAGTTGGTTTACCACACCTTGAAACTCGTTCATGTGAACCACAATGCTATCACCATCTTTATATTGCAATTTAACAAGCTTCCTAATCAAAGAAGCTTTTCCCATAGCATTGTTCCTCTCGTACATGGATTCAAGTTTCTTCCACATCTCAAAAGCATTAGTTTCATTAGCAACATGTTGCAAAAAACTTAAAGAAACATATTGTCTGATTGATGCAATAGCTTTCCGGTTCAAGGTAGATTTCTCATCAACACCTGTTGGACGTTCTTTATACAAAATTGGGTCAAGCAAATCTTTAGAGCATAAATAATCCTCAATACGAATTTTCCAAATTGAATAATTCGTAGAGTCCAAACTAACCATTCCTTGAACAATTACTTTGTCATCCATCATAAACAACACAAGAAGCCAACCAAAAAATAATCAAGCTTTGATACCACTTTGTTGGGGAAGCACGAAACAAAACACAACGGAAGCGTATAATATCTTTTCTCCAAATTAATGAGATGAACAACAAAGCACTATATACTCCAAAAAATCAGCACCACCACCACAAATAAATAGCAACGGAAATAAAATAAAGAACACACGATTTACGTGGAAACCCCAAATCGGGGAGAAAACCACGGCCGCTCAACAACGGCTCCAAACTTCCACTAATCACCAAGAATCAAGTGGGTACAACAAGTTCTCCTCTCTAGTAAACACTAGAGGCATACACAATCAACAAGGAGCAATATTGGAACAACAACAATCAACAATTCACCATAAAATGGAGTAAAAACTCACAAAAAACGCAGGTCTAAAAACGCAGCTAGAAAACAACCTTCTGGGCATCAAAATGAGAATCTGACCGTTGGATTTGAAGAGGAGTATGTGAGGAACACTCTAGACCAGGATGCTCGTCTTCTTCCTTCCCAGATATGTGTGAGTGTGCGACCTTTCACTTCTGCAATTGACGGACGGTATAAACGGCAAGGGCAAACACAGAAAGAAAAATATAAGTACAACTCTATAAGCATAAAGTACAAAAAGAATGGACGGAAAAAGTGCATATTTGCAAGGGGTACCTAACCCTTTTTACCATTTATTATATATATATATATATAAAATATATATATATATATATATATATATATATATATATATATATATAATATATATATATATATATATACTCCCTCCGTCCCACTCTCTTTGTCTACTTACCTTTTGGCACACCATCCAATGTACTTCTTTAATCCAATTTATCTTGTAATTTGTATATTAAAAATTATAGAAATTATATATTAATAATCTATATGTTAAGACAAATCAAACAAGATCACACATGACTATATTTAGGCTTACACATTGAGAGAATTTGGTGAATCAAAGTGCTTAGGTGAACAGTTCCAAAAGTCAAAAGTGGACAAAGAGAGTAGGACGGAGGTACTATATATATATATATATATATATATATATATATATATATATATATATATATATATATATATACTATTTTGTATAAAATAAAAATAACTCATTTCGTCTATACATAAAGTTTTATGATATTTGATTGAAATGATAATCACTTTAATTTATTTTATTAGTGAATTTATATTTAAAATAAAATTTACATATCGAGATGTACATTAAAATATTTTATGAAATAAGGATGTTTTTATTTTTCTTTAAATATTCTAACAAATATCCAAAAATATTCAAATGATTTTTTTGCGACACATACTCCATATTAAAATTAATTGTATTTTTAAATGTTAGGAAATCCTAGTTTAAGAAATAAAGAGATCTTTTACATATTTATTCTTTTCAATACTGAGTACATAATACTTGGAACAAGTCTGTAACAATAAGGATTCTTGCAGAGTTGGTGGATAGCTTGATACTCCCTCCGTCCCTAAATAGATTACAATTTTTTTCTCTCTCCTCTCGATAACTTTTGTTTGTTTACACGATTTCATTAAGTATTTGATAAAATAAAATATTCTTGTCACCTCTTGTTTTGTAGAACTTTTGACATAGTTTTTTAATATGTAATTTTTATATTTTATTGATATACCAATTCGTAAATAAAATAATTTCAAAAAATAGAAAATTTTACTCCGTAACCCGCAATTTGTAATCAAATTGGGGACGGAGGGAGTATAAGATACAAGAGATCTAAGGTTTGAATTCTAGAGATGGTGTAATGTTTTGGCCTATTTTCAAGAAAAAAAATGATTCCACCACGTGAACCGGCTGATTTTTACGGATTCGAAATAGTTCACTCTGTAAAGCAGTCCTTTTGTTCTCAGACACAAAATCGATTCACTGCGTAAAGAAAACCAAGGCGTATAGAAAATCTATGATTGGACCTAAGTTGAAGAGAATGCAACCTATCTAAAGAGTTGAATACTTAAATAAACTTAGAATAGAATGAAGAAAAATAAGAAGATCCGTATAAACCTAAAAAATATAATCCTTCTGTTTGTAATGGATTTTCCTACACACTATTCACAGATCATACTTAACTCACTTTGTTTGCTTATTTTTATTACTCATTACATAAAATAATATGAGTATAGTCTTATCACTTCAAATTTTGTAGAACTTTTCATTTAATTTTTTACTTGATGAATGTTATTTTTAAATTTTATCTCTATCATGAAATAAGTTGAATTGAAAATAAAATTGATTAAGCCTAATAACACTTAATAGAAAGATTTTCGGTAGAGAGAGGGGATAATAGAATGTGGCCAAGTTGAATTATTCTTCTTGCTGCTCCGAGTGATGTTGCACGACCTTCCACGTTTATCCCTTACTTTTTCATACCCTACCTATCATATCATACCTTTTTACTAATAATCTATCCATCACATCTTACTTTTACTCATCACATCAAAGGTATTTTTGGAAAGTCAACATAAAAATATCCCTCCCTTAAATCCTTAAAAAGTCAAAAAGAGAACTTCTTTTACGGACGGAGCGAGCATATTGTTATTTAATTAAATAAAATAATATTTTGAGAATATTTGACATAATAAATCTAAGAAAACTCTTTTTGTATCAATATCTAAAATTATTTTTATTTAATTTGAGGTCAAAATTTACTAATTTTGATTGAAAAATAAAAAATGGACAAATACTCATGGATGGAAGGAATATTATCATAGTTTTCAGAACCGGACCGGGGACCGAACCGGTCAAGGCACTGGTTCACTGGTTCACTGGTCGGACAGGTGGTTCAAGTGGTCGAACCAGTGGTTCACGCATATTTAAAAATTCAATATATATATATATATATATATATATATATATATATATATATATATATATATATATGTTTGCAATAGGGAACAAGGATTCATGCACGGATTAGGAGGCCTGAAATGAAGAAATTCAGACCCAAAATCAAGGAAGGGGCAGTTTGTGCATTGAAGAATTTCGTAGTGATGCGTAACAATCAGGATTACAAGACCACAAACCACCCTTTTACCCTGACTTTCTTTGAACACACACACTGGAAAGACTTAAGTGCATATCGATTTCCAAAATTCATGTTTAACTTCTGTCCTTTTGAGAAGTTATTGGAACCCTTGAGCCAGAATCTGCTAACTGGTAAGGATGCACATTTCAATTTTTTTGTAAAAACCTTTTTTGCAGTCCTTAAAATATTTCAATAAAGTTATTTATTATAACCTGTGTATTAACATGCCTGCCATTTTGCAGATGTGATAGGAAAAGTAATTGCAAGGACTGGAATTCAAAGCCGATTTGTTCTCGAAGTTCCACAGAGATTCATTGAGCTGGCTTTGGAAGATACAAGGTTATGATCTGTCCTCATAGCATGTATATTCAACTGAACTCTATTTCTAATGTAAAGTTACCAATATTTGGTTTCATAGGGGACAACAACTACGGTGCACTCTTTGGGGAGACTACATTGAAAAGTTCAATGAATCTGTTGGTGCAGGGATCACGAATCCTATTCTAATCGTGCAGTTTGGCCGCCCAAAGGAATACATGAGTACCAATCTATGTTGCACTAATTTGAAGCATTTTACCATCTTTACTTATTTATATCCCATTTTACAAAACAACTTTTCAATTCCAGAAGAAGTGTCTATCTCCACCTCATTCCATGTGACAAAACTAATCCTAGACAATGATTGTGAAGAAGCAAAAAAATTTCTAAAAGCTTTCAAGAATGGGGATGAGGATAGCAGATCCTCAAGTACTTTCACACTCACCCAAAGTAGTGAAGTAACAGAAGATTCCAGTGCTAATTTGAGGATTACAACCATCAAGAATCTACTTACTGAAACATCGGTTAAACTCAACTATTACAAAAATTATTTACTTAGCCCTATTGCTTATATTGTGTGCTAACTATACCGATTACAGGATGGGTATTACTGGATAATGGCTGACATAGTTTCTGTGGAAAACTATAAGGATTGGTATTACTTGGCCTGCAACAACAAAACATGTAGCCGAAAGGTTTACGTAGACGGAGATTGTTTCCGCTGTGAACAGTGTGCAAAAACAATGACATTTGTGGAATACAGGTAAAAGTGGTTGTCAATGTCATGAATTATTTGTTTCAATGTTAAAATCAAAAGGGGAACAAAGTGTGTGAAAACAGAATATAAATTTTTAAATTAACCATTATTTAGGTACAAAGTTACAGTGACTTTGATGGATGAGAGCGGACATGCAACATTCATTCTATGGGATCGAGAGTGCAAAGAGATAATGGGAATTTCAGCATCAAAGCTGAGAGACATCATGATCGAGGTATGTCTTATATTCACTGCAGGCCAAACTTCTGGGCCGGTTACTGTGTTTGAATTTGGGAGAGACCAAATTCAAACACAATTTGTGTTTGAGAGACCAAATCCATTATTTAAAAAAACAAAATTTATAAAATAAGAAGTTATATTTTTTATTTTATAATTTACACAACATTTTTAAAATATTTAAATGAGTTAATAGTTTTGTGATATGAAGTTCATATTAGAATCAATTGCATCAATATTTTAGAATTTGAATCATAGTTTCAACAATACATTTTTAAAATTTTTAAAAATAAAAAAAAGTCTATTTAGAATATGTATACTTGTATAATTTAAGAATGTAATATATAACTAATAATGTCTTCATGCAACAAAAGGGATTGTAGCTAGATGGTAGATAGCCTCTCATGCGAGTAACAGGTTGTGTGTTCGAAACCCACTGGAAACAATGTTTGAGACATTTGTGCAAAAAAAAGATTTCTGGTCAAACCGGTCCGAACCGGACGGTCCGGTCCGGTTTTTAAAACTATGAATATTATAAAAGAAACACACACTGAGAAAGAAGGCGATGTTGTACTTAAATTGGGTCTTGGGTCCCAAACAATTTATAAGTGGCCCTCCATCGTCGGGCTACAAGTTTGGGTAAAAGCAAACAATGGGTGAATGAAGTTGATAGTAAAAGCAAACAATTGGCTAACTTCCCTAGAGGTGAACTTCCTATTAGGTATCTCGAGCTACCCTTATCCTCCCATCGTATTTCAGGATCTGATTATGCACCACTCTTCATGAAAATTGACGCGTTCCTTGGGAAATGGAGTACCTTGAAAATTTCTTATGCTCGAAAACTGGAGCTGATTAGAGCAGTGATTCAGGGGGTGGAATCATTTTGGCTCCAAGCCTTCCCAGTTCAGAAGACTGTGCTTAACCGTATTACTACTCTATGCAGAGACTTCCTATGGGGCAGCAAGTTTGCTAAAGTGGCATGGGCTGACATTTGTAAACCCAAAAATGAAGGGGGTTTGGGCTTGAGGGATGCTGAAACCTGGAATAATGCTCTTCTGTGTAAAGCCGTATGGAACATTGCTGCGAAAAAGGATTCACTTTGGGTGATTTGGGTTCACACTGTTTATCTGCGCAATGAATGTGTGTGGGTGTGGCAGCCCAGGAAGAGACACTCTGTCTTCTTTAAAAGGCTTGCCTATGTGCGAGAGCTTTTGGTACAAAAGCTTGGTGGCCATAATTCCTCATTGGAAGTGGCTATGCAAGAGTTTTGTATTGGCGATAATCTCTGTCCGAGTAAGGTTTATGATTTTCTTAGGGACAAGTCCAATCCCAAGCCTTGGATGGCTTTCATATGGCATTCTCTAATTCCTCCTAAGTGCTCCTTTACGATGTGGCTGGCGCTTAGGGGGGGATTTCTTACCAAGACCAATTTGGAATTCCTTGGTCTTCTTATGGAGTGTGAGCTTTGTGGAGATGGAGTCGAGGATATTAGCCACCTCTTCTTTGGATGCTGTGTGTCAAAGCAAATTTGGGGGGCCATTAGGCATTGGCTACAGATTGATGCCCAACTGACAACCTTGGACAGAGTCATCAGGTGGTTGAGGACGGCTAGACGAGGAGATCCTATCCTGAAGAAGGCACGGAGGATAGGGTTGGCATGCACCATATTCCTCATCTAGAAACAGCATAATGCCTTCCATTTTGAGCGCAAGCCTATTAATATTGATGGTGTGATTTGTAATATCAAAACTATGGTTTATTGTGTTTTAGGCCGTGTGCGGCCAAATGTTCATCTTACTTTTTAGTTTGGGTTAGCCTGCGTGCCTTGGTTTTGGGGTTGGTTTTCCCCTTTTATGTATGAGGGTGTCCCGTTGAGGTGCTTGATGTAGTGGAAGGGTTGCTCCTATTCCTAGCTCGGGTATGCCCGTTCTATTTGTATATTCCTATTCTCTTTCTATTTACATTTTCCACAAAAACAAAATCCTACTTGGAGCTCACAAAAAATGGGTTTAGTGAGGGTGTGTTTGCCAATGTTTTTAGAACCGAATTGGACCGGTTAGTCCAACCGTTTGGAATGCGAACTGGTGAGCACTCTAGTCTGGTTCAAATGTAAAACCCGGATCTGCATTGATCCGCTCAAACTCAGTAGACCTGGCAGAATCGGAGGACCGGGTCGACCCGCTGGACTCGCAAGTTTCTTCTGAAAGTTTTTATTTTTATTTTTTTGTCTATAAAATAAAATGATGGAGATAAAATTTGAACACTAAACCTCACCATACATGTAACACCCCACCCTGGATGATCCGAGTCATCCAGACCGGAGCGCTAGCAAAACCAAATTTACTTTGTAAAACATTTATTTATTTAGATTTAGTTTTCATTTTAATAATTAAAGAGTTTAATTGTTATTATTTCAAAAAAACTTAAAATAAGAACGTTTGAGAGTAAACACAAGTTATGGTTCGAGCCCGAACCAACATAAAGTAAGTTCAATAATTTATCATTATAAAAAAAATAATGCAGAATTCTTTTATCAACGCGATCTCCACGTCTATAATTTCCCTCCTCAGCAGTTGTTCCTTTTGCTAGTATCTACGCGCAGTTAAACACTACACGCTTAGCATAAATGTGACTATACTTTAAATCATTTATTATTGTTTTTTTTAAATCATTTATTATTTTTTTCTTTGTCCGTTCTTTTTTTTTTAATTTGCTGGCCGTAAGAAAAAACAACATTTCTTCTCAATGTTTTTTTAAATAGGTTTATTTGCATACTTTTTTGTAATGATTTTTAAAGATAAACATGCACAAAAATATAAGAACATGATATATAAATCTAAAGGTTGGGGTCAACAAACACACCTTTAGTGTCAATTCAAACAAAATGATAGCTTGACAAAGTTGATGGATTCCCTAACAACTCTCATGTCTCTCAATCTCCCTCGACAATGCCCCTTTTTTGTAACAAACTCACACACTCTTAATCTTTATTTTTCTTTTTTTCTCTCAAGTGGTCATGGGTTTCTCTTCCTAAGAGACCCTATTTATATGGAGAAAGAGAATTTTAGAAGTGAAAGGAAAGGGTATTGAAAAGGAGCAATGCTAGGTTTACAAACAGAATGATTACAAACTTTACAAGCGTACTATTTATGGTTTAAATTATCATTTTAATTTTTTAGACTATTTAATTTTTTTTATAAAAGTTCACAAATAGTAAGTTTGTGACCATTGTATTTGTGAACTAAGAATTTCCAATGAATAGTCTTAGTTTAATATTTTTTAATTACAATAAATTAATTCACCACTCTATTAAATGTGATGAATTGAATAGAGGTGTTACAAAACTTTTTTCTCTTTTGGCGTGAGTAACAAGATGGGAAAACTTAAAGTTTTTTTACTCCCTTTGGTTAGTATTACTTGTCTAATTTCTATAGTTTTGGTTGCCAAATATATTTAGAAAAATATAACAAAACTTAAACGGTTAAGTTCCATATTTTTCACACATCATTTTAACATAATTTATTTATAGAGAAAACAGGTTCTCTTGAATGAATAATATTATTCGGATATATAGCAGAGAGGCAAAACTTATTTTACTTCTTTCATTCAACCTATCTAATAATTTTAATCATTAATGTGTTAATTCTAATTTGTAATTATTTTTTAAAGACTAGTAACATTTTTTAAGTAGCAATTTTTATCCACATTTAAATTTAATTAAATGAATATATATTTTTTTTCAATTTTTAAGACTTTTCATTTCTTTGTACTAGAAGGTCAAAATTTTCCAAACCGGTTTCTGGTGCATTACAATACAACTCTCTAAGATTATAACCACTTAAACTACTCAACACTTATTATCAAAGTCATGCAGAATAGTATATATACTCCGTATATTATTTTTTATTTGTGCTGAGTGAATTTTAAAAAAACTTCTAACTAATTGTAAGAAATTAAAGAACATGGTTGTGTTGTGTGATTATTTTATAATCTTTTAAAATATTTCAAAGTAAAGTATAAATATTATTTTTTATGAAATAATAATGAATAATTTATATCTAAACAAATATTATCATCTATAAAATTAAAAAACATATACTAATTATAATAAAATATGGAAAGAGTATATAAACAACAACAACAACAATATCCCAGTTGAATCCCACTACAGTAGGGTCTGGGGAGGGTGTGTGTACGCAGACCTTGCCCCTACTCGAAAAAGAGTATATAAACAATGACATTGAAAATAACATGGAGAAAAAAAAACACAATTTTAAGTATTTTATTTAACATTGAGAATAATATTTACATCTTTTCTTAATATGTATGTCCGGTTCAAATGGAAAGATTAAAGTTAGACGAAGGAAGAATGTGCTGCGTATTTTTTATCTTTACAAATAGTGCACGAAATATGATATTATTTAATTTTTTATTATCTAAACATAAATATGAATATTATATACCAAGTAACACTACAAGAATCTCGCGTATAAGCTGCAAAAAAATAGTGGGAGATTTTTCTGCCTCTAATTAGCTGCAGAGTAGAGGGGGAATATTCACCCTCTGTTTTAAATTTTTATTAGTGGGTAACATTTTCGTCTCTAGTTTCTTAGCTAATTGAAATAAATTTCATTTGTATAACCGGGAGATTAAAGTTAAATAAAAAATAGCGGGAGAAATAAAAATTTAAATTTTTTTTAAAAAATATTCGAATTAGAGGCGGAATAGTCCCCCACTAGTATCAAACACAAAAGAGTCAGATTTATCCCTTGCTAAATCCGTAAATATACAAGAAAAAAGATGGAACTAGAATAAGGGTAATATTTCCCCCTCTAATTTAAAAATAAAAAGAGTGTGATAAATTTGTGTGGTATGTAGGGGTGTTCATTTATAGATCTGGACCGGAAAACCGACCGAACCGGACCGATCAGTCCAGACCGAACCCGGACCGAAAGGATTTTGGATCGATTTTCAGTCCGTATTATTCTTAATTGCGAGTTTCGGTCCGGTCAGGTCATTACCCGATTACCTGTCGGTCCGGACCCATAACCCTACTTATATTTAATTTTATATTCTCCGTTCAAAGAACACCACGCATAGAAAAGTAAGAAAACAGCCCAACCTTATCCGACCTTAAATCCTTAATCGCCATCGCCTGTGTTGTTCGAGAGCAAAGGATTCGCCGAGCGAGAGCCTTCGCCGTCTCGCAGAGTCCCAGGCTCCCAGCCATCGCCAATTCGCCGAGAGCCTTCGCCGTTAGTCCTACTGCCCAAGTGCCCAGCGCCGACTGCCGAGCTCCGACGGCCTAGTCGCACACTGCCCAGCACCGAGTCGCCGACTCCCTCAATCCCAATTGAATCAGGTACGGTACTCATCTCGTCTCCCTCGTCTCCTTCTCTATAATCCCTAGTCTTCTTCTCTATTAGGTTTCTTCTTGTTAAATTATTCCCATGTTATTTGTAGGGCTTAGCAAAATTGTTTTATTCTTAGATTTTTTTCTCCAAATAACATTTGAAACTTTTAAATTTGGCTAAGGTATTGAATCAAAGTTGATTGTCAATTGTTAAAAAAAAACAGCAATGTCACCAAGCTTTGTATTTTCGTTTCAGAATAAAAAAAACAGCAATGTCACCCATTGCAGATTCTTTGCAATGTTTCTTAAAGAAATTTTGAAAAAAAAACAGCAATGACTTTAAAAAAAACAGAAATGTCACTGTTAACTTTAACAGCCTGATTACTCGAGTTTTCTAACATTTTTTTTGCCAGGTTTGATTGTTTGAAGCATGAAGCAATCAATTGATTGTGCGCAATCACAGTCACAGGAAGTGCCTTCAACGAATGTTTCTCATGACTCATGTAGAGACAGTTCAAAATGAAGATACAAGTCTTTCGACAACGGGTGCCTCAAAATCTCATGTACCAGACCCTAACAAAAAACCTAGGCCTGGGCGTCGGTATATTGTGAAAGGACTGAAAAGAAGGGCAGAGTACTGGAATGATTATGAGTTATTCCTAGATGATCAAGATAATGTTCGAGCAGAATGTGTACATTGCGACTCTACTTTTGCTGCTGATTCCGCTCGGAACGGGACCAAAAACTTGAAACTGCATCATGCTTGTTGTGAAAAAAATCCACTGAATAAAGGCAAAGGTAAACAATCTACAATTCACTTAGAACCTATTGATGGTGAGGAAGGAGATGTGCGTGTAAGAAGTCGAGTGGTTAATTTAGATGATCTTAGAGAAGCTTTAACTTATATGATTGTGTTAGATGAGCTGCCTTTTAGATTTGTGGAGAAACCTGGATTTCGACACCTTATGTCTCTTGCGGTACCAAATTTTCATATCCCCTCCCGTATCACAATTGCAAGAGATTGTTTTAACTTTTACTTGAAAGAGAAGGAGAAACTAAATTCTTCAAAATTATGTGAATGAAAATATTCTAATTGTTCAATTATATGGAATTCTTTGTTTAATTTTTGTTACCCCAATTTGATTTTCGATTTTATATTTATTGGTATATTTTTATTCTAATTGTTCAATTATGTGGAATTCTTATCGTAAATCAGTTTTAATGATGATTTTTTTAAACTAAAAAAAATGAAAGAATCAAAATTTATTGTGTCTTGGTTTTTGTTCCCACCTACCAGTTTTAAAGTAGGTTTGATTGTACAAATCCGGAGAGTTTTTTTAAAGTTGTGATTTTGGAACAACAAAATATTGTCATGCTTAGGTTTATTTGTTGGTATTTGGATATCTACTTGTCACATATCGTAATATATTTATTACCATTATAATTTATTTTTATACTCCCTTGCCCAAAAATAAGGTTCCCATTATGGAATACAAATATGTTTAAATAAATTTTTATTAAGATGCAGAATATGGATCGTACTTGGATGTATGAGAGACTTTATCCTGGGAGAAAAGGGTTGAAAACTGAATTCATTGAAGGGGTGAAAGAATTCGTTAGAAAAGCAAAGGAACTTCCACAATTTTTATCAGAGGGAGGGATTCGATGTCCATGTGTGAAATGTGAATGCATGAACATATTAAGTGAAACAGATTTAAGAGCTCATTTATACAAATATGGATTTCAGCCTAATTATTGGACATGGACAGAACACGGGGAGGATAAGCCAATGTTTGATATTAGAGATGACTCAGTTGATTCTGATTGATGATTTAAATGAATTTGAGACGATGGATCATATGGTTTGCGATGCTCTTAGACAAACGTTGAGCTCAAAAATAAGGAAACAGTAGTAGTAATTCAAAAGAAGGAGACAATGGCCGAAAGATAGATACTTCACATACATATTTCAGATAGTTAAGCCTAATTGTATAGGCAGGGGACATCATAGAATGGAATAAAGCTAACAAATTAGAAAACACCATAATGACTCCATAAAAGTTAAGACTAATGAAGTAAGTAAAACTAAACTAAAAGCATGAGTTCCCAACAACCATCATTTGAACCGCAACTTCATCCTGTGATGGCTGCTGCTCCCCTTCCCAGAGGGGGGACCCCTCTTGTGATGGCCGCCGCCGCCCCCCTTCCCAGAGTGAGGACCCTTCATCAAAGTGCTCCCTCTCCCTCTCATGATTTGCTGAGAAGGTCCACAGAGGAAGGGGGCGGAGCGTCCGGTGCAAGCCGCATAGCAGTGGCCAAGTGGCGTGAGACGAAGTTCCTAAGAGCACGCACATCAGAACCACAAATTCAGACCAGCCTTCACAAAAGCTATGAGCCCAATCATACGATTCTGCTCATTGAAAACCGGACAACCCGACTCTCGAAGAGTGGCTAGCCCCCCCCCCCCCCCAAAGCCAGATATTTGGACGAGTGGAAGCTTCATCCTGTAGGTCAACATTCGTGGCTCATCAAAAAACTCATTGCCCACTGTTTCTCTATTTGGCATATTTCTTGGGGGCTTTTTCAGAATCCCCAAGCGGTGCGGTAGGCAACCCTCGTAGCAAAGGAAGTATCCTCCCATTCACTCAGTTCCTCCGCCCTTGCTCTTGAAATGATACTGCCATAATCCAAATCTATACTAGAGGCCGTCGGCAAAGGGTAAGCCACAACCCCTTTGAAGTAGGAGTAGGGGATTTTGAGGCGATGCACGAAGGAGAACACTCGGTCTCCCACGGCAAGACCATCTAATCGATTACTCTCCTCCTCCTCCAGGTTAACCCATTCAAACTGCTCCTCGAGTTCCAGCCTCTCCCCCACCCAAAACAGCCCTAGATCACATCCAGCATCGGAGGCCACGAACACGCAATTCCATCTTAATCCCAGATCATCTATGTGTCTCGCATGAATGTATTCAACAGTGCAACCACTAGGCAAGATGTGCTCCACCGTGAGGATGAGCCCCCGTGGGTGGACACAGATCCCACCGCCGGTGGTGACGACGCTCTCCTTGCCTATTAAAATAGGCTACCTCCACCAATTAATTAATAAAAATACTAAACTTACTTCCATGGCGTTACAGTTTGAGTTGGGGATCACTTAGGAAACAGGCTCTCTATTTTCGAGTAGGGACAAGGTCTCCGCAAACACCAATGTTTTGAGAATCGGACCAGACACCGAACTAGACTAGCCACTTGGTCAAGAGTCAACCGGTCGAGCAGGGTTGGCCGGAAGATATTGACGGTGGAGGTAGCCTATTTTAATAGGCAAGGAGAGAGCATCGTCACCACCGACGGTGGGATCTGTGTCCACCCACGGGGGCTCATTCTCACGGTGGAGCACATCTTGCCTGGTGGTTGCACTGTTGAATACATCCATGCGAGACACATTGACGATCTGGGATTAAGATGGAATTGCGTGTTCGTGGCCTCTGATGCCGGATGTGATCTAGGGCTGTTTTGAGTGGGGGAGAGGCTGGAACTCGAGGAGCAGTTTGAATGGGTTAACCTGAACGAGGAGGAGAGTAATCGATCAAATTGTCTTGCCATGGGAGACCGGGTGTTTTCCTTCGTGCATCGCCTCAAAATCCCATACTCCTACTTCAAAGGGGCCGTGGCTTACCCTTTGCTGACGGCCTCTAGTATAGATTTGGATTATGGCAGTATCATTTTAAGAGCAAGGGCGGAGGAACTGAGTGAATGGGAGGATACTTCCTTTGCTACGAGGATTGCCTACCGCACCGCTGGGGGATTCTGAAGAAGCCCCCGAGAAATATGCCAAATAGAGAAACAGTGGGCAATGAGTTTTTTGATGAGCCAAGAATGTTGACGGTGACTTACTGGATGAAGCTTTTAGTCGTCCAAATATCTAGCTTTGGGGGGGCTAGCTGGAGAGTCGGGTTGTCCGGTTTTCAATGAGCAGAATCGTATGATTGGGCTCATAGCTTTTGCGAAGGCTGGGTCTGAATTTGTGGTTCCGATGTGCGTGCTTAAGAACTTTGTCTCACGCCACTTGGCCACTGCTATGCGGCTTGCACCGGACGCTCCGCCCCCTTCCTCTGAAGCTTCTGTGCCTCAGCAAATCATGAGAGGGAGACGGAGCACTTCGATGAAGGGTCCTCACTCCTTTGTGAAGTATCTATCTTTCGGTCATTGTCTCCTCCTTTTGAATTACTACTACTGTTTCCTTATTTTTGAGCTCAACGCTTGCAATGGTATTATCGTCTTGAGCCTGTCTGGAGGTGTCAGTGCACTGTCAGTGGTACAGAGCCAAGTCGAGAGTGTTGCGAGTTAAAAATTTCCTGCAGCAACAATGGCTTCTAACAAGCACTTTGTTCAACCTGTAATTCCTCGTTTTGGTGGTTATTATGATCATTACAACATGTTGATGGAGAAATTCTTGACGCCAAAGGGGTACTGGCGGGTTGTGTATGAAGGAATCAAGGAACCAACAGTTGGTACGGCGATGACAGAAGCTTAATGAACAGAGTTGGAAGGGCGTCGATTGATGGATCTCTTAAGTATTGTTGCTTTGCTTAATTTACAGATTAATCTTTGGTTATGCTTATCCTGCTTATGGCTGCTTTAACATTCAGCAACTCTGTTTTTGGTGTCAGTACTGGTGATATGCATTGTGCTCTTTGCAACCTCTAAACATGCTTCATAGTTTTGTCACTCAATTGTATTAGCACTGACCAAATTTTCAGGATCATAGTTGCAGAAATGGCAGTTTCTAAAAATATTGGTGATGCCTTCATTTCTTGGTGAAGGTCAGGGACAGATGTTCATAGATACATTCTTTGTTTTATTCTCCTGTAATTCTTTGTTTGTTTTTACCTAAATCCAAAGCCCGACGATGGTGGGCCACTTATAAATCGTATGGGAGAAGTCATTGGAGTCAAATTTCACAACAAAGGATACATACCCTTATACTACCTTCTTGCCAACAAATGTAATTGTGAGGTGGTGGAATCATTATAAGAAGTTCAGGTAAATAATCTCTTTCTCTCTCTCTTTCTCAAACTAGGGCTATCATTGGAATTGTTTGATCAGAAGTGATCTATGAGTTGAGCTCTATTTTTGTCTGAGTTTGCTTTGCCAAAGATGGCATAAGAAACAACCCAAGTAACCAACTATATTGATGACAACACTTATTTATTAGATAGAGAGGGGCTGGTGTGCAGAAAGGCCAACCTAGGAGAACCCATAGGTTATCAACGGCTAATCTTTAATATCACTATGGGTGAGTGGCTGACTAAATACATGCTGTAGTATTTTATCTTATATTCTGTCCGTGTATTGGCCAATCTTTTATTATTGAGTTCCTATAATTAACTGCTTATTGGTGATTTATGTCTACTACGGCAAAGTTAATGTATTTCTCCACTGTATTCGCTAGGGAGTGATTATTCTCTTCTGCTTCTTTTGGTTTTAATTTGGGTGGTTTATGGTAGGGCTGTCAACGGATAGCCGAAAATTTGATTATCGTCCGCATCCGTATCCGTTTAAAGAGGAAATATCTGCATTCGTTTTAAACGGATATTATCCATATCCGATTAAGAATATCTGATTATTAAATGGATACAGATTTGGTAATTGTATATCCGATCTGTTCAAAATCTGATCCGAATATGCTTCCGTTTAAATAACCGTTTATCTGAATATCCGATCTGTTATATATAGTTTTTCTTAATTTTTTATGTTTATATTTTGTTTTTCTATTGATATTTCAAAATAAAAGACATTAATAAATGGGTAAACACATAAAATATGTACTGACATATAAATATATGTGAATATGTGTGCTATGTATATCTTCTTATTATATAAAGTTATCGTAGAATATCATAAATTATGAAAACAAAGAAAATAATTATCTCATAACAAATTATACTTGATTTAATAATAGGTTGACTTTAATCTAATATAAAACTAAAGTTTTGTTTAATTTGATTTTAAAAATTGGAAACGGATACGGATATATCCGATATCCGGCCGATATCCGACGGATGCGGATACAGTTTTGATTTTCAGTATCCGTCAAGATCTGTATCCGAATTCGAAATCAGACAAAAATAAACGGATACGGATTTGGTAATGACACATCCGATCCGATTAACATCCGGACCTAAATCTATTTGGGTTTGGAACGAACCGGACTAGAAATACTTAGGATAGAACCAGACCGATTGGACCGAATAAAAATGTACTCCCTTCGTCCCAATTTAAATCGTCTGTTTTGCTTTTTGGGCATATTTAATGAAAATAAAAAATATTGATTTTCCGAAATTGCCATTACTTTTTAGAAGGGGTGATGATGAATGAGAAGATAAGGTGAAGAAGAGTGATTTATTTTAGGGGTAGTTTAGGTATTTTATTTTTAAAAGTTTACGAAAATAACTAACAGAAAACTTATTTTGGGACGGAGAAAAAAGGTAAACAGGCAATTTAAAATGGGACAGAGGAAGTAATTTTTTAATTATTTTGATCAATTAAATATATATTAGGTTTTGATGGTTTGTCTTTCACAAAAAATATTTTAGGCTTTTTATTTTGTAGCGTACAAATAGAAAAAACCATAGACAACCTAAAAATAGATACTCAACATGGACTACTTCTATGTAGAATAATAAAAACTAATGCGAAACTTTTTTTAAAAAAATTTCTTAACGAAAACTTTTTTAATTAAATAAATTAAATATCTATTCAAGTAAACATCAAAGTTTATTACGAAACTTAAAAAGTAAAGTTTACGTTTTTAGGTCTTTTGGGTCCAATAGAGTTATTAGGTCCATTTTGTCCAATCGGTCCGGACCTAATTCATTTTGACTGGACCGAACGATTCAGTTCGATTGGTTATTTTGGTCCAGACCTAAACATGGATAGCCCTAAGTAAAGTGTGATCACGTGAAAAGAAAACATTCAATTTAATTTGGGACGGAGGAAGTAATATTTAGAATATTTTTTTTTCACACAAAAAAAAGGAGCGTAAGAAATAAGTCAATATTGCACATACCTATCTAATTTGTGTGACTTGTCAAGGAGGGAGAATTTCTTTCCATCTCTTCCCTTAACCTCCCCCAACTAGAGAATTAAAACTAGTGGTACATGACTATACTACTTAGAGGTGGCAGGAATCCCAAAATCGTTGTCCTGATTCGAAATATTTTGATCTCGTCTTTATAATGTTCCGTTTTGTTAGGGATGCAAAATTTTTATCTCCAACCCGTTTCAAACCGTTTTAAAATTGGACAGGACCGAGACATATAAATATTTTCTCGTTTCATCTCATTGTTTTGTATATATGTACATATCTACTTATTTATATAATTATATAACACAAAAATATCACAATTCTTGTTTTTACCAAAATAGATAAAAAAATATCCATATTTGGATATTCTAAAAAATGGACTAAGACCAAAACACAAAAAAATCCAAACCGTTTTAACCCGATCCATCCTAATTTGTGGCTCATAGTTAAAATGAAATTTATAGTCCTGACTTTTGAGGAGTTTCCTTATTATTTTGACTCTTCAAAAAATATTTTACATAAATATATCATTTTTTCATTACTTTACAAGTCAAACATTCTAATTAATATATTGTATATTAATTAGATAAAATAATATTTTGAAAATATTTGATATAATAAATCTAATAAAACTATTTCTGTAACAATATCTAATACCATTTTTATTTAATTTGAAAACAAAATTTACCAATTTTGGCCAAAAAAAAATCAAAAGTCAACAAATAACGGAGGGAGTATCAAATTTTGAGCAATGACAAAGTAAGAGAATGTGAACTCGTTCCGTATTGTCCGATCCCGAATAAAGACAAAGAGAAATAAGCCTATGGCCCGAACGGTTCCGAACCATTTGAAAAAAAACCGAACAAAACGCGGGATGGTATAAAATTCAAACCATCCCGACCCGTGCCCACCCCTAATACTATTTCGTGAGATGATTAATGAAAATATAAAAAAGAAAAAGAATGAAATTTGACCATATAAATTACTACCTCCGTCCCATTTTAAATTGCATGTTTGCTTTTTTTCTTCGTCCCAGAATAAGTTGTCTGTTAATTATTTTCGTAAACTTTTAAGAGTAAAATACCTAATCATAATCAATTTTGAATAGTTGAACATTCAATTCCTTAGAGGACCAAAATTTGTATAACTGCCACTTGTCATGTATAACTGCCACTTCCATTTGATCGTTAAATGTGGGCCTATACTGATGGTCAGTGAGTTTGTGCTTATTGGTGCTAACGATAGGATTTATGATCAGCGGGATAGATTTTTGTGATAGATGTCCAAATAGAAGGCATATTTTTAACCTAAATGTGTAATGCAGGATCTTTAGAGAGTAGAAGAGTATTCAAATCAACGGGTGGGAGGGGTATATATAGGTTACGTGTTACCCATTATTATATTATTATTATTATTATTATTATTATTATTATTACTATTATTATTATTATTATTATTATTATTATTATTATTATTATTATTATTATTATTACTTTTATTCCCTCATTAATATTTTTTTTAATGTATGCAGGATACGTCAAAGGATTTATTGGGGCTAATATAGTGCATGTTGAAGATATATACTCTTGGTGTAAAATGAATTCATGAGGTGACAGGGGAGCAGCTGTGGGCATAAAGTGCAGTGCACAATGCTTGAACATTAGTTTACATTCCATACAAACACATGGATACATACATAAAGGAAATGTACATTTATTTGGCCAATTGTGAGTGTAAAAGATGTACTTGAACAAATGTATCATTTCTAGTCTAGACTTGATAAGTACAGATCTTCCCTGGACTGATGGTCTTGTAAGATGTAGCATGTGATAAAGTATATCATCATTATGACTCTCACCTAGCATACATCCTCGTAGGATGAAAAAAATTTGGCACCAAAATTAGAAATCAATTTTGCAACTGGATGTGGCCTTACAGATATGATATATGTTCCCTTTTCTTCTTTTTACAATTTAAGGATGAATATGTCAATTTTTATTTAAGGTGTGGTTTAGCAAAAGAATGAGTGCAACACCCTTATTATACTCAACAGAACCAAAATATTATCAAATAATCACTCAAGTTAAATAAAATTACATGTAAAATTTACCTTTAAGAGAGAAGTTCTTCAGCTCAAACGTAGCCTATAAAATCACAAACCTGAAAGTCAAAAGGAGAACTACAATAGAGTTGGGGATCACTCTTCCAAATTGCCTTAAAGATATATATCCCTAAATCCAATAGTGATGGCTTTATGTCTTAAAGAGTTCTTGTTAAACCGAATATAACAACCATTATAGACTTTTTGTATATCTTTAAGAGAATGGGTAATTATATTAACGCAAAGTATAATTAATCTACTTATGAAAGAACAATAAGAACTAAAAGTCCTGACCTAATTTTGGCAGATTATTGACTTTGGCATTAATCTAAATAATTTTGATTTTGGCAATTAAGACTATTCACTAATACCCCTTTAGTCTTGTGGCATTAATAATAATCCTTGTTTTTTGCCCAAACCTCATGATCTTGCACTGATTAATGATTTTAGAGAAAAGTCAATCAAATTCATATGAGAGTAAGTAGACACAAGAAGTAATCATCAAAATAAAAAATGCAGAAACATGTGTCTTGTCCACCCCTAAACAGAACTTGAAGAATAACACAGACCTGTAAATAGCTCACATGTGTCTGGTCAAGCATGGCTACAGAACAGCTTCTGAGAATCAAAGAGAAGTAAGGGAATTTGAATAATAACACAGATCGTAAATGGCTCGCAACATGATGTCTTGTCAAGCATGGCTATGGAACAGCTTCTGAAAATCAAAGAGAAGTTAGGGAACCATTCTGCAATCAATGAATTAACTTAAAGGGAAAGCAATCAACAAATTTAAAGATCGTGAAGCAACAAACTATATTCTTGAAACATCATGAAATATCTTGCTTGCATCATAATCACCAGCTTTAGAACGAAACCTCCCATGCCAACTTGAAATCAAATACAACGTCATTATAGAGTTGTAAATTTTAGCTTTTCATGCAAAAGAAGAACGGGTAGAGTTCGGGAACTTAAAGGGGGTGGCAAAAACAGGCAATGTGATCAAGGCTTCTAGATTTGTTGGATTCGCAAGTAGCAAAGCATTATCGATAAGAACGAATTTGGGAAATACCTATAAATGTAACCTGTCAACTTCAAGTTTATTAGGGATACTAAGTTTCCTGAAATACCTTCTTAGGCATCTCCATATTTGATTTCTGTCCATATAGAAATATACATAATAAAACCTGTAGAAAAGCCCATTTACTTTCTCAGACTCTCCCGCACATAATTTCATCACATATCTTGAGTATGAATATCTATTAACAATATATGTCTATATTTCAATTCAATAATGATCAAAACATACACCAGAGAAAAAAAAATTGTTTCATAACTGGAAAGTTGAAGCAACAAAAATGCAGCTCAAAGAATTGAAGTACCTGAGGCTGTCCAAATTAATGAAATCCACAAAGCTCCACCCTTACACTCCATCTCAGATAGGTCTGCCACCAATTGGTCGAATTTCAATCGGGACAAACTGGATGATCGGAGTCAAGAATTTACCTCTACGACTATTTCTAATAGCAAGCGCTGAGATGAGCTTCGATTGGCTAAGCGTACCGGCAGCTTGATATATCCAAGCTCGCTGCTTGGAGGATTGGTAAATTAATGGAGATTTCCAGAATTCTGAGGATGAGGATTGATAAATAAGGATGAGGATATGAAATTAATCAAATATTTTTGTCTTCTTAAGTTTCGTATCTCGAGAGCGAAGAAGGCATGGAAGAAATAAAGTTCTGCAATTTCCATATATTGAAATATTTTGTATAGTTGAAGACAGAAAGAGAATCCACCACATAGATAGCTGAGGTGGTAAAAAATGTACAATAAATGGTTAATTTTATATATAATAAATTTAATTGAATAATAAGTATAACCAATATATGGTATCCTTCAATGGAAAAAATGGAAAAATGTCTATGTGTGTGTGTCTATATATATATATATATATATATATATATATATATATATATATATATATATATAAATCTAGCCAAACACACAATAAATGAATATAATTCACTATTAGCCAAACAAACAATATAGAACAAATCACTAAAACTCGATCATAATGCTTACTCTGTATCTGATGATAAAGACATCTATTAAGTATAAAATCTTCACACACCACTTAGAAAAATAGTATGAATCCCGTATAGGGGCTAATGCAACATCTCTTAATGCAAAATCCTATATAGGGCAATGCAACTACTCCTAATAGCGTCCAAAGTAAGCATTGGAATCCTACACATTTAAGAGCATATGTCAATGAGCACTTGCACAAGTGAGATGGACCTCTAACATCGGCATTGGAAGTAAGAAGCGTAGTTATATTGGCATAGTATAAAATTGACCGATGGTGGAAATCAAAAACTGGTCTGCATCGACAAAAAAATTAAAACATACCTTGCAAGTGATTCCTGAAATTGATGAACTTTTTTTCAAGTTCTTCCAACTTTAGATCCTTTTCTTCATTTGGTCTTAACACTTGTGCACACTTACTCACAGATTCATCTCCCTACTACTTTCCTGATTGTAATTTATTATTGAATTATAAAAAGGATCAGTACAGTCACATATGAGTTTAGAAAGGCAAACAACATTTTTCCTTTATACTTTTCAAAGAGGATGATCAAACTATGGCCATCAACTAACCTTTGATTTTTCAACTTCTTCATTTCTTTTAATACAAAAGCTCCATGTGAGTTATAATATCTTGATTTATAATAATTTAAATAATTCCAATTGGTAACCATGTGCACAAAAAATAAAAAATGAATGAACACAACCATTAATTTGATTAATTTGTAAGAATAAATATTAGTATCTGGCTATTTGATGACCTATGCTATTAGCTATATTCATTCAACAAATTAGACATTACTTCAAAAACAATCTTTCAGTTCACACTTTCACTTCATACCTTAATCTCACTTAGGCAATGAAAGACATATATAGAAAGGGCTAACAGTTTACATAAGATTAAACAGAGAATGAGAAGTAATACCAAATGCGATATGGCTCTGAGCCTTGTGTAGTTGTTGCCACGAATCGAAGATTACCGCATTCTTCTTCTGAGTGGTGAAACAAGGGAGGCCATCATATTCCTGCACACCGAACATATATTCTTTTTAAAAGCACATCTTGAATATTACTCTAGAATATCCAATATGAATTTTGTAGATATTTTTAAGGATTAAAAGATATTCTTACCGTGCAGGTTCTTAGACATTTGATGGAAGCTTGGGATAATGTTTTAGTGAAAAGGAATGTTGACGGAGTTGGATTTAGGGATGGAGGTGTTTTCGTGGCCTCTGATCCAGGCTGCGGTCTATTTTGGACGGGGATGAGGTCAGATGAAGAGTTCAAATTCTTCAATTTGGAGGAAGAGAATAACGCAGGCCTTTCCCTATGGGACAATGTGTTTGCTTTTGTCAATCGTCTCAATATTTTCTACTCCTATTTTGAAGGGTGCGTTGCATACCCTCTACCCACTGCATCTCTTGTACCGTCGGATTATGGGCGCAGCATTGCAACTGAAACAGTAGCAGATTTAACCCTAAACGAAGATACTGCCTTCGGCACAAGGGTGCCGCACCGCACGGCCGGTGGGATCTTGAAGAGGCCTCGAAGAAGCAAAAGAAAGGAGTGAATATGAAATTGTATGACCCTTCCAACTTGATGTCCTTCAAGTCGGGACTTCTGTTAGTCCAGATTTCCGGGTTTGTGGGTGGAAAGGCTATTAGAGAGTCGGGTTGTCTCGTTTTTGATGAGCAAGATTCAATTATTGGGTTGATAGCTTTTACGAAAGGTGAGTCACAGTTTGTTATCCCGATCTCTATTCTTCATATATTCGACTCGCACCACTTTGACTTGGCCATGAAGGTTCGGATGGATACTCCTCGCCCCCCCCCCCTCCTCCGCCTCTTCCTTTCGTGCAAGGAAGCAGTTCGAAGAAGCGCCATCACCCGGGCCAAGCCTCACCAAGGCCAGAAGNGGCCAATCAGGGCGGCATACATGTTTAAGGGGGCATGGACCTGACTCCACAGATTGTGGCAATTTTCGTGATAGAGATTTGTTGGTATAAACTGCTATTCTCAAGGCTCGTGAATCTGTTGTTTATGTTGTGACCTATGACTTACTAGGTACTATGTTTTACTATAAAATGTACACTCGTATTATTGTGATTTATATTTAGACTTGTTTTAGCTCAATTTGAATTCATGTGATAAAATTTAGGATTGAAATTTCAAGTTGCAGTTATTTAATTACCCAATAAAACACTTAGACACAAATCACAATAAAAAATTGAACTCAACCCATTAGCTTGTTCATTTCAAGTTCTTACTAACCCATTACATTTTTCTACACATTTTTTGATATTATATATTCTCTCAAAAGTTTTTGTTATTTATTGTGTAGATGACATGCTGAAGCGTTGCGGCAGTTTAACAATAGTGCCTTGCTATTCCTCCAAAGAACCTGTATTTTGGGGTTCGGGGATGGTTATAGACTGTGAACCCAACGCTAACGATTCTCATCACCTCACAGTTCTCACTACAGCAACGCTCTTTATGCGTACAGATAATATTTAACCTACTGATGTTGTTATTTAAGCGTACAACATCAGTAGGTACTATCAGTAGGTTAAATATTATCTGTACACATAAAGAGCGTTGCTGTAGTGAGAACTGTGAGGTGATGAGAACCGTTAGCGTTGGGTTCACAGTCTATAACCATCCCCAAACCCCAAAATACAGGTTCTTTGGAGGAATAGCAAGGCACTATTGTTAAACTGTCGCAACGCTTGAGCATGTCATCTACACAATAAATAACAAAAACTTTTGAGAGAATATATAATATCAAAAAATGTGTAGAAAAATGTAATGGGTTAGTAAGAACTTGAAATGAACAAGCTAATGGGTTGAGTTTAACTTTTTATTGTGATTTGTGTCAAGGTGTCTAAGTATTCTATTGGGTAATTAAATAATTACAACTTGAAATTTCAATCCTAAATTTTATCACATGAATTCAAATTGAGCTAAAACAAGCCTAAAAATAAATCACAATAATACGAGTGTACATTTTATAGTAAAACACAGTACCTCGTAAGTCATAAGTCACAACATAAACAACAGATCTACGAGCCTTGAGAATAGGAGTTTATACCAACAAATCTCTATCACGAAAATTAGCACAATTTGTGGAGTCAGGTCTATGCCCCCTTAAACATGTATGTCGTCCTGATTGGCCTTGGTGTTGGCTCCGGTGCTTCTGGCCTTGGTGAGGCCTGGCCCGGGTGATGGCGCTTCTTCCAACTGCTCCCTTGCACGAAAGGAAGAGGCGGAGGGGGGGCGAAGAGTATCCATCCGAACCTTCATGGCCAAGTCAAAGTGGTGTGAGTCGAATCTATGAAGAATAAGGGTCGAGATAACAAACTGTGACTCACCTTTCGTAAAAGCTATCAACCCAATAATTGAATCTAGCTCATCAAAAACAAGACAACCCGACTCTCTAATAGCCTTTCCACCCACAAACCTGGAAATTTGGACCAACAAAAATCCCGACTTGAAGGTCATCAAGTTGGAAGGTCATACAATTTCATATTCACTCCTTTCTTTTGCTTCTTCGGGGGCCTCTTCAGGATCCCACCGGTCGTGCGGTGTGGTGCGACACCCTTGTGCCAAAGGCAGTATCTTCGTTTAGGGTTAAATGTGCTACTGTTTCAGTTGCAATGCTGCGCCCATAATCCGATGGTTACAAGAGATGCAGTGGGTAGAGGGTATGCAACGCACCTTTCAAAATAGGATTTCAAAATAGGAGTAGGGAATATTGAGACGAATGACAAAAGCAAACACATTGTCCCACATGGAAATGCTTGCGTTATTCTCTTCCTCCAAATTGAAGAATTCGAACTCTTCATCTGACCTCATCCCCGTCCAAAATAGACCCAGACTGCAGCCCGGATCAGAAGCCACAAAAACACCACCATCCCTAAATCCACTCCGTCAACATTCCTGCCACGAATTGTCTCGAATGTGCAAACCTGTGGCAAGATTTGTTCGACTGTCAGTATCAGCCCTCGTGGGTCGACACACACGCAGCCTCCTGTTTTGACATGAACCTTTCCTCCGTCCTTGTATGCTACCTCCACGGTCCAGATTCTCCTGCACAGAGCTATTCTTCTGTTCCGTACCTCTTCTTCTGATGTCATCGTCTAGGCAAGTCGAGCGATGGCTTGAATAAGAGGAAGAAGAAGAAGAAGAAGCCCTGCAGTTCTCCTTCCCCTCTCTCGATCTCTCTCTCGAATAAAAAGAAGAGAATAAAAGCCCTAGATCTATCTCTCTCACCACCCCCAGATCGATTCTTACCCGTGTAGTCACGTTATCGTGTAGTCACATTTGGATATATCCCATCCGATTTGATGCAGTTTTTTGGGTATGTACTCCATGTTTATTTATCCAATAATTCTAAAAATAATATTTGGGGTGATTTTTTTATTTGTTAAAATAGTAGAAGTCATTAATTAAACTTGATTTTGGAGTCAAATATGCTTTTAACGTCATTGTTAAATTGATAGTGTTATCATAAGTCGTAATTTTATAAATGTATGGAAAAGGAATATCTACATAATTAACAAATAAAACATAGAGAAAAAGATTAAAAGGACAGAACTTGAATTAGGCTTAGATTTAAAGGTTTATATATGATGATAAAAATGAACTTGAGCTTGGGCCGTGTGACTTTTAATTTTTTTTTAAATATGAACTTCAGATATCCGAGAATATCTGAAATCTTAATATTTCATTCCATGTCTGATTCGAGGTTTTTGAATGTTTGATTTGAAATATCCAAAAACTAAAATATGAAATTGAATATCCATTTTTCAGATCGAATTAGCTTGAATCTTGAACGGATGCTCTGGATCGGATATTTTTGAACGCCCTAGGTTGTGCCAAGCATAATTAACCTTTTTTTGTGTCTTTTTATTTTTTAACAATTTCATTAAAAAAATAGTACGGAGTACTTATTAACAAAGAAGTACTTTTTAATAAAATAAATAATTAAAATCATTTAATAATTAAAACATATAAAAATTTAAAAAGTATCAAAAGCAATTACTTGTCACTCTAGAGTTTGTCACTACATTCACGTATCACTTGCTCACTAGATTATTTTTTCATTTGTTAAAATGTGTCACGTCAATATGTGACATTCCATTTTTTGTCTTACCATTGCTCGTACTTGTCATGTAAAAAATTCAAAAAAAAAAACAAAAAAGATTTTACTTTTTATTTCTAATAACATTAAAATAATTTTTGTTCTCGATAATTTTTTTTGTTTACGCGATTTCATTAAGCATTTGATAAAATAAAATATTCTTATCACTTTTTCTTTTGTCAAACTTTTGACGTATTTTTTTAATATATAATTTTTATTTCTTATTGATATATCGATTTGTAAATAAAATGATTCAAAAAGTGAGATAATTCTCCTTGTAAACCCTAATTTGTAATCAAATTGGGGACTATGTTCTTTCTTATTAGTTTAATACTCCCTCCGTCCCATAAAGATGGGTACGTTTTGACTAAAGTAGAAATTAAGAGAAAAATAATTTTGTGTTGACTTTCCAAAAATACCCTTGATGTGATGGGTAAAAGTATGAATACTCCCCATGTCCCATAAAGGTGGGTACGTTTTGACTAAAGTAGAAATTAAAAGAAAGATAATTTTGTGTTGACTTTCCAAAAATACTCTTGATGTGATGGGTAAAAGTATGATATAATGTGTAGATTATTAGGAAAAAGGTATAATGTGATATGTAGGGTTTGAAAAAGTAAGGGGTAAAAGTGGTTTTTTAATAGAAATGAGTAAGGAATTGTGAGACATAATTTTTTTAAAACGTATAAATCTTTTTGAGACGGAGGGAGTATTTGATATGCCAGCTATTAGTTCATATGATATTAACTCAAATTTAAGAGGGGTAAGGCCCACGTTTAAAGAAAAACAATAACTTTGCAGCAGGAGTTTATGGGATCAATAATGGGTCAAGATGTACATGGCCTTCCTTACCCCTAGAAGAAAACATGGGTTGTTTCAGTTAGACCCTTGATGCAAAGCTGTGTTTACTACCCAAAACTTCATGGAAAGTAAGGACTGAAATTCAGTTCTTCCCGTTTCTTTCAATAACTTAAAAAGAGTATTCATACATGATGAATATTAAATAACAATATATATTTAAATTTATAACATATCACTTCAAACACGAATAAAAATGAATTCTTTTGATCTAAAATTAGAATTTTCTTACATATTCATTTGAATGATCATTTAATTAAGTGACTTTCTAGCACTTTAATTCTTCCAACATTTTTCAACTCAGAATAACAGGATCGGAAAAAAGTTAAAAGATCTCAAACTCAATAAATATATATTAAGATATTGGTTGAAACTTTCTTTATTATCTAAACAAGATTGAAACATCTGAATTTGAGTAAACAAGCTCAAAATATTTATACATTTTCTTGGCACTTTCCAAGAAGAAACCAAAACACAATAAAATTATCTTCATTTCCCTGTCTCTCTCCTTTACGTAGAGCATTTTCCATGATCCAAACATGCCATATATAAAACTCATTGACAACACTCAAATCAGCTTCTCAGTAGGGTAACAAAGAGGCTGTCAAAAAAGAAGAGAGGTTACAAAGAGGCCATTAGCTCAAAACTTATAGTTTTCTTAAAAAATACATTTACACTATGTTTGGTTCAAGGAATTTGAAAGGGAAAAGAAAAAAAAAAGAATTGAAAAACAGTTTTTCATGTTTGGTTGGAGAGGAAAAGTGGAAGAAAAAGAAAATGAGAAGACAAATGTACTAACCGGAGGGAAAACCAAAATTCTCCCATTTTGGTGAGAAAAATGAGAGAAAATCATTTTCTTTTCTTTTCCTTCCAAATTCCTTGAACCAAACATAGTGTTAATGTTTGCATATAGAAAACATCAAGAAACCTATCAAATTCAAAATAAAATACTTGAACAAAACGGAAATTAGATACAAAGATGTTGAAGATTGATACCGTCACTTTGAAGAGAGTCCACTGCAGTAATGAGGCTCATATTTGAGTTTCGGGAAAAGATTGTTCCAACACGCTATGGCTGCAGAGAAGCTTGTTAGCAAGCCTTCCCTGCCACATTACATTTCATATCGACTCATGCCCAATCAATTGACCCAAAAGAGTAGTATGTTTTGCTTGACGAGGAGTGCAATAATGGACACTCAGAAGTTATATATATATATATATATATATATATATATATATATATATATATATATATATATATTATCATATACTCCATTTACCAGTCTGATCCTGGTTTCATCTACTTACAATGAAGTGTAAGAAACTATGGAGGCTCAGATCCTTTGTGTGAGTGGGTAAATGAAAAGAGACCGCCATGCCTGCAAACATCGGTTATATCTGCATTTGCCCAAATTTCATCAGCCTATGAAACTCTATGCCGATCATATCATCATCACAGCCTACCAAATTTTCTAGGCCTACAAAGATGAATCACAACAACAATCCCAGTATAATCCCAACTCAAAGATGAATTGAAACATGAAGCATCAAGAATCGGCTAAAATCCTCCCAATTTGCATCATCAACGTCTAGAACGAAATGATCAACTTGGCTCCTTTGGTATAATGATCTTTTCCCCAACAAACTAAAACTCATAGAAATTCTAATAAATTATCGAAAATAAACAATTAGATCTGAAATAGAAGCTAGAAAGTAAGAAAAAAGAAAAATTAAAGGGTTATACCCCTCGCACCTGGACGGGAAATGAACGATTGTTTCAGGTGCAGGTGACAATGACTTCAAGAGAACACCAAGTACAGTTGGTAGCCTATTGGTGCTTAATGGAATCGTGGCAAAATAAGGCAATGTTCCTAGAGTTTTATTTGCAAACATTAATTTAGATATTATAAATTCTACGGACAATTGACAAAAAAAGAAAGTGATTTTCAAAAAATAGCTACAAACAATTGCTCTTATTAATAAAACTTGCACTGAACATTAGGCAAGATAAGAGCAAAACAATCAATGAGAAATTAATAATGCATGCACTTAACAAATTTTTAGATAGTACAAACACTTGGGGAAGAGGATTACAATTTTCATGTTATGGACACCAATTATTTTCTAGGATGAAGAGGATAAATGCTTGCCCCTATTCTTCAACAATAGTAATTTCTAAATAAAATGGTTAACCTTTCAAAATAAAAATATACTGGTTTTCAATAACATTTCCTATTCTAGAGCTATATCCAGAAGATCTCAATCTTGAGTGGCTGTAATTTAAGGTTTTCAATAGTTTTTTTCTTATCGATGAGCAACTGCAATCAAAATAGCATTTACCAAATAGATTGGGAAAAAAACTAACACATTTATTGGGAGAACTCGGTCCAAATCTTAAAAAATTCAATAACATATGTACTTCAGAAAGATGTATAAAGATATTTTAAAGATTAGCTTATATCTCAAATTTTTTATCAAAAAGTAGAGGGTGTAGAATATAGTTTAAGCTAAAATAAAGATATGAAAGCATTGACGGCATTATAGAACAACATCTTATAAATCATAAAATTTTACTAAAAATGGATAGTAGTTGGCACGACACTTGAAAATATGCCTTCAGCAAAACCACAAACCAAGTTGCCAAACATTAGCCTTTTCAAAATATCACCCATATATTTAGTATGCAGTGATCACCACTTGAAAAAAAGAGACCTGAATTGCCTCTGTTATATTAAAAAAGAGCATAAACTTTATCATAAAAAATGATATGATCAATGTGAATATAGATCAAACCAAGATTGGTGTTAAAATACCCAGAACGATAGACATGCTAGTTGGGTAACTCGAGGAAGAGATTTTCAAACAAAGGGCATTAGACCCAGAACCTTTTAAGAAGACAAAGCAATGGCTCCTTCCATTTCCAAACTCGGTATCACCTTCCTTAAAAAGAGAGCAAAAAAGGGTGTATGTATGTATATATATATACACACACACACACACAAGATAAACTTAAATGGAAGGAGAAGATAGTAGCATGGTTACTCTAGGAGAAACAGTGATGGTTGGCAATTGTACTTGCAAACACAATGCACAACTCATGCACGCTGATACCTTATTAGAAGAAAAAGTATTTTCTACTACCAATATGCCACAGTGAAGTAGAACAAGACCAAAGTAACTGATTTCCTAAAAGTAATATGTTAAACATTAAATTTCCAAAAATGCTGATAGTGCTCCTGGCTTCAATAAATTAAAGAGAGTATGCATATAAAGTAATAAAGTGAAAATTAGTGAATGATGATAAAGAGTATACGTAAGTGATAATTTACATTCTCTAGCATTGGGATAGATGGTAGAACACTGTCTTTTGTAACCTACAAAGACAGAATAAAAAAATTCTTTAGCTCACAAATTTGACACTAAATTTGATAAATTCAATGTGAATGAGAAGTTGAAGTATGGAACCTGGGCGTCAAACTCAATGAAATGGTAAAGTACGACAGTGGCATGGAAAGAAGGAACGTAGATCTCTTTCAAATCCTTCATTCTCCCGATAGGGAACTACAACACATTAAGCCTTTTCCCTCTGTT